TACTTCCTATCTGCAGTCGAATTCTCAAGTACTTGAATTTCACTTATTGTTGCTTTCAAATTTCAAAATCAATGCATTGATCTCTACGCAAAAAAAACCTTGCCAAAGCTTCTCTTTGCACAAGAGATGGAATTCTCATATATTGTACTTGTAATAGGTATTCAAGAAGAGAAGTTTTTTATAGAATATCTTCAATATTCAAATTTGACTGAGAATTTCCTAGCACTTTTTTTCGTTTAAAGTCTCTCCTGTCTCCGATCAGGTTCCAAACACATTATTCGTAGCTTCCCTCTTCAGCAGGAACAAAACTGTTGCTATTGTAGAAAAAGATAAGTTAGGATAAGATGTAAACAGCTTCAATTTTTTTTCTTCTGAAAGTACATGTTCGATATGAAGTCCTAAATTTTTTTAATTGATAACTTGGAAATTCACATATAAACATACGAAGACGGTAAGAGTAAAATCTACTCGGCATGATTAACAACCGTTCTACCGAGGAAAAAAACCGTGACATGGCTTTTCATTTGTTCGAGCTTGTGAAGTCAAAAGAAATGAAGCGTATGTGAGAAGATACGTAGTGGAGATTGTAACTTGAAACTTCGTCTTCCTGTTAATGTCGTGCTTTAAATTCTACGCATTTTATACGATGAGGAGTAGCTCTCTTCATGAGCAGCTACTAAACTTATCTCATAACATTCCAGACTGAGCAAAAAACCCACGTGAACAGTATCGCAAATTGATCATTTTTGCGTCCTTAAATGATATTCCATTACGTTGTCCAATGGTATTTTGGAAATATCCGTCTTTCGTTTCTATGGTATTCCTAGAGATTGATATTAGGCAGCAAAGTAAAGTTACTTTAAAAATTACTCACAAACTCCAATCATTTGTGAAGGCTTTCGAACCATAGTGCATCACAGAACCTAGGTCATACGTTTGACCCATATTGTCACTTGTGGACGTTGTCCTTTTTTCAAAATTACCTTGAGTTCCCTTAAGAATTTAGCGTTAATTCTATAATAAGCATAAAAATGCAGTAAACCCTACCCTAATTATTCTTTCAGGTAAAATTTTGATGTACTTGTCTCTATCACTGCGTGACTGCTCGTGCCATAAGCCAAGAGCGTGAAGCGTTTCATGAGCGACAACTCCCAACTGGAACGGTAAAGAAAGCAATCACCTCCCAATTTTCATAATTAACGGATAAGTGGTAATTAAAAACGAGGAACTTACAGCTTCGCATCCCCACCCAATAGAGATGAGTTGGCGTCCACCAGCTCTGCCTACATTTGACCAACAGCCACTTCCGCGAAAGTACCTCAATCTATCCCTAAAAAGTAGATCTTGACATCATACTTCATTTATTCAAATATTGACACAGAAATGAAGAACGAACTTGTTGTTAGTATTTTCCTCAAAACGTATGCAGGTACTCTGTTCAATATGTCTCAGCGCAGATCGAATAACGTTTTTGAAAGTTTCTAGAGTATTTAAGTAGCTTTTACAAATATAATTTTAATATTCAAAGTTTTGTTTGACACTTTGGGCAATTCCAAAGAGCAGAAATTGCCCTTACCTTCGTGATAAGCAAATTCATAAGATATGGTTAGATT